GAAAACTCGATCGCTGGGACAATAAGTTTATTCGCAAACTTCTGTGCATGCTTTACTTGTTTCTGCTACTCATGTCTCTGATGATGAATCCGCGACGGATGTCGAAACGTCGGGCGATAGTCGCATTCCCCCGAAAGGACCCCACAGGGTGATCCCTTCCCCAGTGGTAGTCTCCAGCTCCAACTGTCATTGTTAAGTTTGTGTACAATCGTTATATACAGTACGGCCTAGAGTACGTGTAACATGCCAACATATGCGAAAGATTGATATTTTCTCGCTAATCGGCATTAAGATTGTAATAGTGATTATCATTTAGTCGATTCTACAATCATTTCAGTCACGAGAAGATGCCGGTTTTTTAACTAGATTCTTGCTGATCGCTAACAGTACGTGTGTACTGTAAAAAGTGGCCACCTAAGTTATCATGCATTTCGACTGTCTTTATAAATTTAAATATATTTTATGGAAAATATTAACAAAAAATATTTATGGTGCTCGTTTGGGGGAAAAACTACACCTTTAAATTCTTTACTTAAAGAAAAGGTATCCTTCGGGTTTAAAAAGTTTCGAAATTGCCGAAAAATTTTTAAACCTACTGACTACTACACTTGAATTCAAGGTTTACAAACTGTGCGCTGTGTAAGTTATGTTTAAGAAAAAGTACGTTTTTGCCTACGAATTGAGGAAGAGGTAACATAGTTCTCATAAAAGTTTGAAATATATCTTAATCAAGCTGTATACATGATAGGCATCATTAATAATTTGATGGATGTGATGTATAATGGATGAGCACCTCACAATCTTAAAAAAACCATATTTTTAAACTTTTAAACCCGAAAGATACCCTTTGTTTAAATATAAAATTGTAAGAAGGCGTAATTAGCTACCAAACTAGTACAGGATATAATTTTTTCATGTATGTGATATGACAAAAATTCATTCTACTTACGTTGCCAAATTTTACTGCGCATATGTTTTGTTAGCGGTTAGAACGAAGCTACTTAATAAGCCAGAATCCTATCGGGACTGAAATGACTTTAAAATATACTAAACGACAATCAGTATACCAACCTTACTCCATGTCGACTTGCGAAAAAGTATCAACATTTCGCATCGGTCGGCATGCCGTACTGTATATATATATAT